ACTCACTGGTCTCACTACAGACTCACTGGTCTCACTACAGACTCGCTGGTGTCACTACAGTCTCACTGGTCTCACTACAGACTCGCTGGTCTCACTACAGACTCGCTGGTCTCACTACAGACTCACTGGTCTCACTACAGACTCGCTGGTGTCACTACAGTCTCACTGGTCTCACTACAGTCTCACTGGTCTCACTACAGACTCGCTGGTGTCACTAGAGTCTCACTGGTCTCACTACAGACTCACTGGTCTCTCTACAGACTCACTGGTCTCACTACAGACTCGCTGGTGTCACTACAGTCTCACTGGTCTCACTACAGACTCACTGGTCTCACTACAGACTCACTGGTCTCACTACAGACTCGCTGGTCTCACTACAGTCTCACTGGTCTCACTACAGACTCACTGGTCTCACTACAGTCTCACTGGTCTCACTACAGTCTCACTGGTCTCACTACAGTCTCACTGGTCTCACTACAGACTCACTGGTCTCACTACAGTCTCACTGGTCTCACTACAGTCTCACTGGTCTCACTACAGACTCACTGGTCTCTCTACAGACTCGCTGGTGTCACTACAGACTCGCTGGTCTCACTACAGACTCACTGGTCTCACTACAGACTCACTGGTCTCACTACAGACTCGCTGGTGTCACTACAGTCTCACTGGTCTCACTACAGACTCACTGGTCTCACTACAGACTCACTGGTCTCACTACAGACTCGCTGGTGTCACTACAGTCTCACTGGTCTCACTACAGACTCGCTGGTCTCACTACAGACTCACTGGTCTCACTACAGTCTCACTGGTCTCACTACAGTCTCACTGGTCTCTCTACAGACTCACTGGTCTCACTACAGACTCACTGGTCTCACTACAGACTCGCTGGTCTCACTACAGTCTCACTGGTCTCACTACAGACTCACTGGTCTCACTACAGACTCACTGGTCTCACTACAGACTCGCTGGTCTCACTACAGTCTCACTGGTCTCACTACAGACTCACTGGTCTCACTACAGACTCGCTGGTGTCACTACAGTCTCACCGGTCTGACTACAGACTCACCGGTCTCACTACAGTCTCACTGGTCTCGCTACAGTCTCACTGGTCTCTCTACAGACTCACTGGTCTCTCTACAGTCTCACTGGTCTCACTACAGACTCACTGGTCTCACTACAGTCTCACTGGTCTCACTACAGTCTCACTGGTGTCACTACAGACTCACTGGTCTCACTACAGTCTCACCGGTCTGACTACAGACTCACCGGTCTCACTACAGTCTCACTGGTCTCGCTACAGTCTCACTGGTGTCACTACAGACTCGCTGGTCTCTCTACAGACTCACTGGTCTCACTACAGACTCGCTGGTGTCACTACAGTCTCACTGGTCTCACTACAGTCTCACTGGTCTCACTACAGACTCGCTGGTGTCACTACAGTCTCACTGGTCTCTCTACAGACTCACTGGTCTCACTACAGACTCGCTGGTGTCACTACAGTCTCACTGGTCTCACTACAGTCTCACTGGTCTCACTACAGACTCACTGGTCTCACTACAGACTCGCTGGTGTCACTACAGTCTCACTGGTCTCACTACAGTCTCACTGGTCTCTCTACAGACTCACTGGTCTCACTACAGTCTCACTGGTCTCACTACAGACTCACTGGTCTCACTACAGACTCGCTGGTGTCACTACAGTCTCACTGGTCTCACTACAGACTCACTGGTCTCACTACAGTCTCACCGGTCTGACTACAGACTCACCGGTCTCACTACAGTCTCACTGGTCTCGCTACAGTCTCACTGGTCTCTCTACAGACTCACTGGTCTCTCTACAGTCTCACTGGTCTCACTACAGTCTCACTGGTCTCACTACAGTCTCACTGGTGTCACTACAGACTCACTGGTCTCACTACAGTCTCACCGGTCTGACTACAGACTCACCGGTCTCACTACAGTCTCACTGGTCTCGCTACAGTCTCACTGGTCTCTCTACAGACTCACTGGTCTCTCTACAGACTCGCTGGTGTCACTACAGACTCGCTGGTGTCACTACAGTCTCACTGGTCTCACTACAGTCTCACTGGTGTCACTACAGACTCACTGGTCTCACTACAGTCTCACTGGTCTCACTACAGACTCACTGGTCTCACTACAGTCTCACTGGTCTCTCTACAGACTCACTGGTCTCTCTACAGACTCGCTGGTGTCACTACAGACTCGCTGGTGTCACTACAGTCTCACTGGTCTCACTACAGACTCACTGGTCTCACTACAGACTCACTGGTCTCACTACAGACTCGCTGGTGTCACTACAGTCTCACTGGTCTCACTACAGACTCGCTGGTGTCACTACAGTCTCACTGGTCTCACTACAGACTCACTGGTCTCACTACAGACTCGCTGGTGTCACTACAGACTCACTGGTCTCACTACAGACTCACTGGTCTCACTACAGACTCACTGGTCTCACTACAGTCTCACTGGTCTCACTACAGACTCACTGGTCTCACTACAGACTCGCTGGTGTCACTACAGTCTCACTGGTCTCACTACAGTCTCACTGGTCTCACTACAGTCTCACTGGTCTCACTACAGTCTCACTGGTCTCGCTACAGTCTCACTGGTCTCTCTACAGACTCACTGGTCTCTCTACAGACTCGCTGGTGTCACTACAGACTCGCTGGTGTCACTACAGTCTCACTGGTCTCACTACAGACTCACTGGTCTCACTACAGACTCACTGGTCTCACTACAGTCTCACTGGTCTCACTACAGACTCACTGGTCTCACTACAGTCTCACTGGTCTCTCTACAGACTCGCTGGTGTCACTACAGTCTCACTGGTCTCACTACAGACTCACTGGTCTCACTACAGACTCACTGGTCTCACTACAGACTCACTGGTCTCACTACAGACTCGCTGGTGTCACTACAGTCTCACTGGTCTCACTACAGACTCGCTGGTGTCACTACAGTCTCACTGGTCTCACTACAGACTCGCTGGTCTCACTACAGACTCGCTGGTCTCTCTACAGACTCACTGGTCTCTCTACAGACTCGCTGGTGTCACTACAGACTCGCTGGTGTCACTACAGTCTCACTGGTCTCACTACAGACTCACTGGTCTCACTACAGACTCACTGGTCTCACTACAGACTCGCTGGTGTCACTACAGTCTCACTGGTCTCACTACAGACTCACTGGTCTCACTACAGACTCACTGGTCTCACTACAGACTCACTGGTCTCACTACAGTCTCACTGGTCTCACTACAGTCTCACTGGTCTCACTACAGTCTCACTGGTCTCACTACAGTCTCACTGGTCTCACTACAGTCTCACTGGTCTCACTACAGTCTCACTGGTCTCACTACAGACTCACTGGTCTCACTACAGTCTCACTGGTCTCACTACAGTCTCACTGGTCTCACTACAGTCTCACTGGTCTCACTACAGTCTCACTGGTCTCACTACAGTCTCACTGGTCTCACTACAGACTCACTGGTCTCACTACAGTCTCACTGGTCTCACTACAGTCTCACTGGTCTCACTACAGTCTCACTGGTCTCACTACAGTCTCACTGGTCTCACTACAGTCTCACTGGTCTCACTGGTCTCACTACAGTCTCACTGGTCTCACTACAGTCTCACTGGTCTCACTACAGTCTCACTGGTCTCGCTACAGTCTCACTGGTCTCTCTACAGACTCACTGGTCTCTCTACAGACTCGCTGGTGTCACTACAGACTCGCTGGTGTCACTACAGTCTCACTGGTCTCACTACAGACTCACTGGTCTCACTACAGACTCACTGGTCTCACTACAGTCTCACTGGTCTCACTACAGACTCACTGGTCTCACTACAGTCTCACTGGTCTCTCTACAGACTCGCTGGTGTCACTACAGTCTCACTGGTCTCACTACAGACTCACTGGTCTCACTACAGACTCACTGGTCTCACTACAGACTCACTGGTCTCACTACAGACTCGCTGGTGTCACTACAGTCTCACTGGTCTCACTACAGACTCGCTGGTGTCACTACAGTCTCACTGGTCTCACTACAGACTCGCTGGTCTCACTACAGACTCGCTGGTCTCTCTACAGACTCACTGGTCTCTCTACAGACTCGCTGGTGTCACTACAGACTCGCTGGTGTCACTACAGTCTCACTGGTCTCACTACAGACTCACTGGTCTCACTACAGACTCACTGGTCTCACTACAGACTCGCTGGTGTCACTACAGTCTCACTGGTCTCACTACAGACTCACTGGTCTCACTACAGACTCACTGGTCTCACTACAGACTCACTGGTCTCACTACAGTCTCACTGGTCTCACTACAGTCTCACTGGTCTCACTACAGTCTCACTGGTCTCACTACAGTCTCACTGGTCTCACTACAGTCTCACTGGTCTCACTACAGTCTCACTGGTCTCACTACAGACTCACTGGTCTCACTACAGTCTCACTGGTCTCACTACAGTCTCACTGGTCTCACTACAGTCTCACTGGTCTCACTACAGTCTCACTGGTCTCACTACAGTCTCACTGGTCTCACTACAGACTCACTGGTCTCACTACAGTCTCACTGGTCTCACTACAGTCTCACTGGTCTCACTACAGTCTCACTGGTCTCACTACAGTCTCACTGGTCTCACTACAGTCTCACTGGTCTCACTGGTCTCACTACAGTCTCACTGGTCTCACTACAGTCTCACTGGTCTCACTACAGTCTCACTACAGTCTCACTGGTCTCACTACAGACTCACTGGTCTCACTACAGACTCACTGGTCTCACTACAGACTCACTGGTCTCACTACAGTCTCACTGGTCTCACTACAGACTCACTGGTCTCACTACAGACTCACTGGTCTCACTACCACACACACACAGACACACACACACACACCCCTGCTCCCTGCTATAGTAGCGGGGGTATTCCTGGTCCCGCTGGGGGTCTTATTACGGTCCAAACAGCCCTCACTCCTCTGTAATGGAGGACAGACAGGTAAACATCGCAATCACAGGCACAGGAGATGCTCTGGGCGCCGAGGGAAGGATGGGGGGGGGGGGGGGGGGACAGGGAGGACAGGGGGGAGAGGAGGGGGGACAGGGGGGAGAGGAGGGGGGGGGGTCTGGGTTAGAGCCACATGGACCTCAGCCGGAGGTGGATCGACCCCTTCACTAACAGCACACAGGACATCATTACAGAGAGAACGGAAGAGCGTGTGTGTGTGTCTCTGTGTGTGTGTGTGTGTGTGCAGTGTGTGTCTCTGTGTGTGTGTGTGTTTGTGTGTGTGTGTGTCTGTGTGTGTGTGTGTGTGTGTGCAGTGTGTGTCTCTGTGTGTGTGTGTGTGTGTGTGCAGTGTGTGTCTCTGTGTGTGTGTGTGTGTGTGTGTGTGCGTGTCTCTGTGTGTGTGTGTGTGTCTGTGTGTGTGTGTGTAGGTGTGTCTCTGTGTGTGTGCGTGCGTGCGTGTGTGTCTTTTTAAAGCCTGTTACAACCATAGACTGTGAATAATGGAGGATGCTAACCCTTTAGCCTAGCTCTGGCTCATACATTGCAGAGTGAGCTCTTCTAAATGTATTGGGTTATGTTATTATTGAGACATGTTTCGAAGCGTTTTTGTGTTTCTCATAAAAAAGGAAGAAAACCGTCGGTACATGTCGAGATAATAACATCACTAACTTACTGTTCTGTTATAGAACAACCAAAAACCTTTATTTTTACTGAGAAGATAAGATGGACTTTCTCCCAAACTCTTTTAGCTCAGAACCCGTCTGTGTCACACCATTTACCCACGTTTAGCGCTCTCTGTGATCCTGTGTTTGTGTCTGGACATTGTCTCTTTAAATCCAGACATGAGCGATAAGGATTGACCAATCAGATGCTGTCATTTGCATTGTTAGCATGTTAGCGACATGTCTGCTAACATGCTAACATGCTAATGCCCCACACAATCACAGATGTTGTTTGAAGTGTGAGTGTTCTTACATCTCCTTCTGTTCAGCTGAAATGTGCACATCTATGACATTCACATTTACCCACAGAGGGACCAACGGTATTTATCTTCTGTAGAGAAACTGGCTTAAGCTAGCTGTTCAATTCTATTCCATTTATTCTTGTAAGTCCAAAATCACAGCTGCAGTTATCTCTGAGAACTCAACAAAACTGCTGAATTCTGCTGAAAACACATAGAGCCATTGGTCGGTAAGGGGCAGATGACAAAAGTCCATAAATGTTAAAAAATATGAACAAAAAACTTAAAGAAACCAATTTGAACAATGTTAAAAAATGTCTAAAACTCTCTGTATCCTTTTTTGTACAATACTCTGCAGTGAAAACATTTTAATACGCTGAAAAACGTATGGAAAAGTAGTTTTTTGAATGTCAGGCCTCCTCTAATAAGCCTTTCTAAACCGTGGGAGGAGAACCATCAACGCAGAGAGAGGTGTGACAGCGCAACAGGAAGCCGTACAATTACACTAACATTACTATATATGGACATCCTTCCTGTCACTGTTACAGGCCTCATCGTTATCTGTCTGCTCTGCACCGGAAATCACAATCTCATCTTTAAATAGAACCTCCACCACTGCCTGAGCCTCCGTATGGGACTTTTATGAACGCTGTATTTCTTTACCGTCAGGGTTTGTTCCTGTAAATTACCGGGATTGAAATGTCGGTGGGAAAAGAATGGACCCGTGTGACGTGATGAACTCGACTGATTTATGAAACGGCGACAGACGTGGGCGGAACGGCAGATACACACATGTTGTAGATGCTGTATCTTTGGAATTGACTGTTTCGTTATCGACCGACAGAAGAATTGTACTAAAAATGATCTCCAAACTTACATATGTTTAGCCGGTTTATAAATGTGTCACTGGAACAATGTTGTTTCTCTTCATAGGATGAGAAAGGATAAGGAGGAGCGCTGGTGTGTTCTCTCGTCTCTGTCTGCTGCACACTGGGGGAGTCACAGTTATTCCAATGTGGTTTTACTGCAAATGGTGCCTTTATTATTGAATCTTGTGTGTTGTGAGTGGAAGAGACACACAACTCAAACAGCATGAATCATTCTGTCACCTCCAGTGTCTCGCCCTAAAACCTTCAAATAAAGTAAAAAATGTAAGTAATAATGGACTCAAACAGCCACAACATGTTGATAAAATCTGCTGCTTTTTGTCATAGAAAAATATTACCAGAAAAAAATAAATGTCTAAAGCAGGAAGTACCATCACATTGGTCCCGTTCTCTACACGCATTCGCAAACGCAGTCACACACGCAGTCACAAACGCAGTCACACACGCAGTCGCACACGCAGTCGCACACGCAGTCACACACGCAGTCGCAAACGCAGTCACACACGCAGTTGCAAACGCAGTCACAAACGCAGTCACAAACGCAGACGCACACACAGTCACACACGCAGTCACACACGCAGTCACACACGCAGTCACACACGCAGTCGCAAACGCAGTCACACACGCAGTCACAAACGCAGTCGCACACGCAGTTGCAAACGCAGTCACAAACGCAGTCACAAACGCAGACGCACACACAGTCACACACGCAGTCACACACGCAGTCGCAAACGCAGTCACACACGCAGTCACAAACGCAGTCACACACGCAGTCGCAAACGCAGTCACACACGCAGTTGCAAACGCAGTCACAAACGCAGTCACACACGCAGACGCACACACAGTCACACACGCAGTCACACACGCAGTCGCAAACGCAGTCACACACGCAGTTGCAAACGCAGTCACACACGCAGTCGCAAACGCAGTCGCACATGCAGTCAGACACGCAGTTGCAAACGCAGTCACACACGCAGTTGCAAACGCAGTCACACACGCAGTCAGACACGCAGTCGCAAACGCAGTCACACACAACGCAGTCGCAAACGCAGTCGCACACGCAGTCGCAAACGCAGTCGCACACACAGTCGCACACGCAGTTGCACACGCAGTCGCAAACGCAGTCGCAAACGCAGTTGCACACGCAGTCACACACGCAGTTGCAAACGCAGTCACACACGCAGTCCACACGCAGTTACACACGCAGTCAGACACGCAGTCGCAAACGCAGTCACACACGCAGTCGCAAACGCAGTCGCACACGCAGTCGCACACGCAGTCGCACACGCAGTCGCAAACGCAGTCGCACACGCAGTCACACACGCAGTTGCAAACGCAGTCACACACGCAGTCGCACACGCAGTTGCACACGCAGTCGCACACGCAGTCACACACGCAGTCGCACACGCAGTCGCAAACGCAGTCGCACACGCAGTCGCACACACAGTTGCAAACGCAGTCACACACGTAGTCGCACACGCAGTCGCAAACGCAGTCACACACGCAGTCCCACACGCAGTCGCACGCGCAGTTGCACAGCAGTCGCACACGCAGTCGCACACACAGTCGCAAACGCAGTCACACACGTAGTCGCACACGCAGTCGCACACGTAGTCGCACACGTAGTCGCACACACAGTCACACACGCAGTTGCAAACGCATTCTTACACGCAGTTGCAAACGCAGTCGCACACACAGTCGCACACGCAGTCGCACACGCAGTCTCACACGCAGTTACACACGCAGTCGCACACGCAGTCGCACACACGCAGTCACACACGCAGTCGCACACGCAGTTGCAAACGGAGTTGCAAACGGAGTCACACACACAGTCACACACGCAGTTGCACACGCAGTCGCACACGCAGTCGCACACGCAGTCGCACACGTAGTCGCACACACAGTCACACACGCAGTTGCAAACGCAGTCACACACACAGTCGCACACGCAGTCGCACACGCAGTTGCACACACGCAGTCACACACGCAGTCGCACACGCAGTTGGAAACGGAGTCACACACGCAGTCGCACACGCAGTTGCACACGCAGTCGCACACGAGGTCGCACACGCAGTCACACACGCAGTCTCACACGCAGTCACTCACGCAGTCACACACGCAGTCGCACACGCAGTTGCAAACGGAGTCACACACGCAGTCGCACACGCAGTCGCACACGCAGTCGCACACGCAGTTGCACACGCAGTCGCACACGCAGTCGCACACGCAGTCGCACACGCAGTCACACACGCAGTCTCACACGCAGTCACTCACGCAGTTGCACACGCAGTCGCACACACGCAGTCACACACACAGTCGCACACGCAGCTGCAAACGCAGTCTCACACGCAGTCGCACACGCAGTTGCAAACGCAGTCTCACACGCAGTCACACATGCAGTTGCACACGCAGTCACACACGCAGTCGCAAACGCAGTCACACATGCAGTCGCACACGCAGTCGCACACCCAGTCGCACACGCAGTCGCAAACGCAGTCACACACGCAGTCGCAAACGCAGTCGCAAACGCAGTCTCAAACGCAGTCACACACGCAGTCACACACGCAGTCACACACGCAGTCACACACGCAGTCACACACGCAGTTGCAAACGCAGTCACACACGCAGTCACACACGCAGTCACACACGCAGTCACACACGCAGTTTCAAACGCAGTCACACACGCAGTTGCAAACGCAGTCACACACGCAGTCCACGCGCAGTTACACACGCAGTCGCACACACAGTCGCAAACGCAGTCACACACGCAGTTGCAAACGCAGTCACACACGCAGTTGCAAACACAGTCACACACGCACTCGCACACACAGTCACACACGCGGTCACACACGCGGTCGCAAACGCAGTTGTACACGCAGTTGTACACGCAGTTGCACACGCAGTTGCAAACGCAGTCACACACGCAGTTGCAAACGCAGTCGCACACACAGTCACACACGCAGCCGCACACGCAGTCACACACGCAGTCACACACGCAGTTGCAAACGCAGTCACACACGCAGTCCACACGCAGTCCACACGCAGTTACACACGCAGTCACACACGCAGTCGCACACACAGTCGCACACACAGTCGCAAACGCAGTCGCACACGCAGTCGCACACGCAGTTGCACACGCAGTCGCACACGCAGTCGCACACGCAGTCACACATGCAGTCGCACACGCAGTCGCACACCCAGTTGCACACGCAGTCGCAAACGCAGTCACACACGCAGTCGAAAACGCAGTCGCAAACGCAGTCACACACGCAGTTGCAAACGCAGTCGCAAACGCAGTCTCAAACGCAGTTGCAAACGCAGTCACACACGCAGTCACACACGCAGTTGCAAACGCAGTCACACACGCAGTCGCAAACGCAGTCGCACACGCAGTTGCAAACGCAGTCACACACGCAGTTGCAAACGCAGTCACACACGCAGTCACACACGCAGTCACACACGCAGTCACACACGCAGTTGCAAACGCAGTCACACACGCAGTTGCAAACGCAGTCACACACGCAGTCCACACGCAGTTACACACGCAGTCACACACGCAGTCGCACACACAGTCGCAAACGCAGTCACACACGCAGTCACACACGCAGTTGCAAACGCAGTCACACACGCAGTTGCAAACGCAGTCACACACGCAGTCGCACACGCGGTCGCAAACGCAGTTGTACACGCAGTTGTACACGCAGTTGCAAACGCAGTTGCAAACGCAGTCACACACGCAGTTGCAAACGCAGTCACACACGCAGTCACACACGCAGTTGCAAACGCAGTCACACACGCAGTTGCAAACGCAGTCACACACGCAGTCACACACGCAGTTGCACACGCAGTCACACACGCGGTCACACACGCGGTCGCAAACGCGGTCGCAAACGCAGTTGTACACGCAGTTGTACACGCAGTTGCAAACGCAGTTGCAAACGCAGTCACACACGCAGTTGCAAACGCAGTCGCACACACAGTCACACACGCAGCCGCACACGCAGTCACACACGCAGTCACACACGCAGTCACAAACGCAGTCACACACGCGGTTGCAAACGCGGTTGCAAACGCAGTCACAAACGCAGTCACACACGCGGTTGCAAACGCAGTCACACACGCAGTTGCAAACGCAGTCACAAACGCAGTCACACACGCAGTCACACACGCAGTCACACACGCAGTCACAAACGCAGTCACACACGCGGTTGCAAACGCAGTCACAAACGCAGTCACACACGCAGTCACACACGCAGTCACACACGCAGTCACAAACGCAGTCACACACGCGGTTGCAAACGCATCACACACGCGGTTGCAAACGCAGTCACACACGCGGTTGCAAACGCAGTCACAAACGCAGTCACACACGCAGTCACACACGCAGTCACAAACGCAGTCACACACGCGGTTGCAAACGCAGTCACAAACGCAGTCACACACGCAGTTACACACGCAGTCGCAAACGCAGTCACACACGCAGCTGACACACAGTCGCACACACAGTTGCACACACAGTCGCACACATATTTAGTCTCCTCATGTTTAGTCCTGACTTTGGGCACTTCATTTTAGATACACCAAAGGCTTTACGTTTTGTAAATATTTTGGATCAATTCCACCTCCAGGCTTTTCTGTGTGGAGTTTGCATGTTCTCTCTGTGTCTGAGTAAGTTACAAACATGCACAATAGGTCTGACAGAGAGTGAATGGAGGGTGTTTGGTCGGAGGCTTTGATGGACCAGTGTGTTCAGGTCTTTCTTCATCACCGAGTGGAAAGAACGAAACAATATCTGAACTCTGAACTTTGTAAAGTGCTTTGGGTCTGTATAATGTGCTATATAAATAAACATTACTTACTGACTATAGCAAGACCATGCTAATTTTCAACACTTTAGGACTAGAATCAAACATACAATTCAGTTTCTAGTTTTATGTCAGTGGGAAGGGGAAAAGGTGGATTTATGAATCTCTTTGCATCTTAAATCAAACCAAATGATTACGCTCTGATTCATGACCCCCCCAGACCCCCCATGACTCGCCCCAGCAGCGGTATAGCTTGCTCTCTGGTTGTTGGAAAAGTAGATCTGTCTAAATGAGTGTGTCTCTTTCACCTTGTGGATGTAATGAGAATCTCAGGGCGCGGCACAATGTGTGTGTGTGTGTGTGTGTGTGTGTATGTCTGTATGTGTATGTGTGTGGCCTCTTAACGACGGCATCATCTCGTAATCTCTGCACCTTCCACACTTTATCATTGAAAAGCATTAGCACATCACATCAGAGGATATTAGTGTGTGTGTGTGTGTGTGTGTGTGTGTGTGCATGACTGTGTGTGTGTGTGTGTGCATGACTGTGTGTGTGTGTGTGTGTGTGCATGACTGTGTGTGTGTGTGTTGGACATTGACAGAAGCAGCTGTTTCAGATGAGATAGTGAAAATGAGGATCCAGTCGTTTTACAAATAATAATAATGTTTTAATGATTCACCCACGCAGCCCCTCCTCAGAGGCCACGCAGCCGCTCCACAGAGGGCCACGCAGCCGCTCCTCAGAGGCCACGCAGCCGCTCCTCAGAGGCCACGCAGCCGCTCCTCAGAGGCCACGCAGCCGCTCCTCAGAGGCCACGCAGCCGCTCCTCAGCTTTTTTTATTGATGTGTTTGTAATAAGTGTGTGGAGAATCATTCTATCCATCAGGTTAGTCGCCACGTTACAGTTTCCAGGACGTTTATGGACATTTATTAACATTCATGGACCGTGCTCTCCCGACTGAGTATTAATGCAGCAATAGCGATCACAATCACTAACGTGCACAGCGGATTAGTATTTATATATATTAGTATATATTAGTATTATCACAGTACTTCTGAAAAAAAACTTTCACACACATGTTTGCACACACATTACATTGGATTTAATTGTATTTTATTGTGATTGCAGCACTACATGCAAACAGGTTTCTCTTCGGGACAATAAAGACTTAGAGTTTAGTTATTGTTTAATTAGAAATACTTAAAAACACCATTTAATAATATTCTGCAGTCATTATAGAAATATCTAAGTCCATAAACCTCTTCTCTCAAATGTTTATGTTCATCGATCCGCTCTGATTAAATAGTTTAACTTCCTGCTGCTAGTTTCTGCTTCCATGACTTTGGTTCTAAATAAATGTCTTTCATATATTTTCTATACTTCTCATTTCAGACAAAAAAACAGTGCGTGGCAAAGGAAATATTCACAGATTCACACGTTTAGCTCAAAACAAAGGAGATAAATCAACACGTTTAGTCCAAGTGTAACTCTTTATCCAACGTTTCATCGTTTCAGCACCGGGAGAGCGGAGAGCGGCTTCAGGGAACTAAGCAATAGAAACATTACCATAAATTCAGATGGAAATGTATTCTGGAGCCGGCGACGACTTTCCCACGAAACCCAGAGACGTGTGTGTGAACGAAACACACACAACGCTACGAATGTGAACCACAAAGATATAATCACACAATCTGAAGAAGCACAAATACACACTGGAGGTACACACTGGAGACACACACTGGAGGTACACACTGGAGACACACACTGGAGACACACACTGGAGACACACACTGGAGACACACACTGGAGACACACACTGGAGGTACACACACTGGAGGTACACACTGGAGACACACACTGGAGACACACACTGGAGACACACACTGGAGGTACACACTGGAGACACACACTGGAGACAAACACTGGAGGTACACACACTGGAGGTACACACACTGGAGGTACACACACTGGAGGTACACACACTGGAGACACACACTGGAGACACACACTGGAGACACACACTGGAGACACACACTGGAGGTACACACACTGGAGACACACACTGGAGACACACACTGGAGACACACACTGGAGACACACACTGGAGACACACACTGGAGGTACACACACTGGAGGTACACACACTGGAGGTACACACACTGGAGGTACACACACTGGAGACACACACTGGAGACACACACTGGAGACACACACTGGAGACACACACTGGAGACACACACTGGAGGTACACACACTGGAGGTACACACACTGGAGACACACACTGGAGACACACACTGGAGGTACACACTGGAGACACACACTGGAGGTACACACACTGGAGGTACACGCACTGGAGGTACACACACTGGAGACACACACTGGAGACACACACTGGAGCTGGGCCTGGGACAGTGTCAGTCTAAAGTCAAGTCTAAAGCTGACTGTAAACAAATGAAAGTAGTTTGTAATGATCTATTGTTATAAAGCAGTTTGTCAGTGACAGAGTTCAGACTGATCTCTCCTTTAAACGCTGTCTCTGCTCAAATAAACCGTTCTCGAGCCAAGGAAAGAATCCTGTTTCATGTGTCTGACTGGAGACGTGTTAGAAATGTTAGAAATCCTCCTGAATCAGACGCAGCCTCACAAATAACACCCGTGTAAATATGACCACAGGTTCACATCTGCTGCACGTACAACACACACGGCTAAAGAAGCAGGAACCATACCGTACCATACCGTACCATACCGTACCATAGCATACCACACAATCCAAAACTGGGTCAAAGTCAAAGGACTATCCAATGATTTATATTATTAAATTAAACGTGTTGGAAAAACTAAATAATATGTTATTAGACTTCATCTGAGATTTCTGACGTATTTCTGAATTCTCATTCTAACATTTTCTGCAGTAAATCCGTCCGCACCATTTCATTGAGATTTTCCCTGTTTTTGCCCACGCCGGTGTTTGTAACACATCAGAGAGACCGACTCTAAAAGAAAGTCCTGGAGACAGAAGGGGTCCTCTCCACGTTGTATGGAGAGAATAAATGCAACATGAAGCAAAAACATGATGAATAAAACCAAAGCATTATGGAAAAGATTTGATAAATAATCTTTCAGCAAACACACGACACAGACTCTGACATCTCTGTGTGAACCCTGTGGTAAGATCTTCACTTACAAACAGTAAACTGAGAATAGTAGAAAGTAAAACTATGTGTATAGAATAAAACCAAAGGAAAAGCGTTACCATGACAACCACACAGTAAACAATGAGGGTCTTACCTTTCCAAAGCTGCCCTTCCCGATGGCTCGCAGGATTTGGAAATGATCGAAGTTCACTGCAAAAGACGAAAAAGACATTTAGGATTCCACACATAAACCAAAGACCGTTTTAAAAGTCTGGGTGAAGACTGTGAAAGTCCAGATGTAGACCGGGTGTAGTCCGGGTGTAGACCGGGTGTAGCCCGGGTGTAGCCCGGGTGTAGAACGAGTGTAGACCGGGTGTAGTCCGGGTGTAGACCGGGTGTAGACCGGGTGTAGTCCGGGTGTAGACCGGGTTATTATTCAGGTTAGCATGAGTAACATGGATAACTTCAGCCCACGCTCCAGAACCATCTCTGCCCGGTCTGAAAACTGCGGCTCAAGAGACTTTGGGTTTCCACAATAAGTTTGATTTTTGGGTCCATTTGACGGTTTTAGTTTAGAAATGGATCTTCCCTTTAAAGTCTGCGATAACGTCACAACTCACAGATTACATAAAGGCCACGAATTATTCAAATGAGTTTGGAAATGTCTCGGTAAATTGGATTAAGACGAGGCAGCAGTGGAATTATTATCAAGATGAGGAGCGAGGGCCGCTAATTTAAAATGCTAATTTGACAGAGTTTATCGGTGGGAACATCAGCGACTCATCACCGACATTTGCACTGATCATGAAACGGACCAAACCCAGAACTTTAAAGCCGTTTTGAAAAGGTTCCTGTTGTTATCTTTAACACTCGGCTTCGTACGGATCATTTTCAACATTTCAAACCTTTGGAAAAAACATTTGACAAAGACAGTTTGGATCCACACAGTTTGTCTTGGACCAGACACGGACCTGTTTCTTACGACACAAACTCTGACAGCTCCGCCCAATGTGGGTCAGCGTGTTAACGACTGTGCACTCGTTAAGCCAATTCTCTTTAAGACAAGACAGAGTTTATTGATCTCTGATGGAGAATGGACACGTCACATCATGGATAGAATCATCAGATTGTGCAAAAGACAGAAATGTAAAATAACATGTTAAATGCAGGATTTATTATGTACAATAAACAGTGTCAATAGCAGTGCAGGTTTTCAGTCCTAATGCAGTGACTTAAAGTGACTTATTGAACAGTTTTTCAGTTAAACCGACTGCTACAGAAGTGTGAAACTCATTTGGTAAATATAATCTGTCTGTCAAAGGCCACTTTAACTGTATAGCACATTTAAGATAAGATAGACTTTATTGAGCTCACACTGGAGAAATTTACAACAACACCTGCTGCCCAAAGTGCTTAAGTAAGTAATATTTATTTATATAGCGCCTCTCACAGACCACAGTCACAAAGAGCATATTTACAAAATCAGTAAAATCCATAGACTGTATATAATAATGGACAGAGTCAGGCCTATCTCCGCCGTTCATAGTAGTTGGCCATGAAAAGTGCTTTCATGGAGCTATCCAAAATGGCCGCGAGTGGTCCCGCCCACAAGAAAATTGTGAAAAAACGCATCTGTGCATGCGTCAGTCGGAGAGAGCTCCATTCATTTGAACGAGAGACTTCTAAAGTCCACAGCGACTAAACTAGAGTGGACTAGAACACTCAGCATTGACACACATGTGGAACGGAGCTTTGGGCCAAGAGACAACTTTTGGTCCATCCTGTAAAGACGTTTTTCAGAGGTCTGCCAATGCTATATGTTAGCATTGGATAATTCTACTTCTGGGCCCACCCCCACAGGCCCGGGGTGGTACTGCAGCATGTCAGCGCACGTCATTTTGGCCACTTTTGAGCCGGGACCCGCCCACACTGGTAAAATCATGTAAGACTCACAGTCATCCACAAACTTGGAGCTGCTCTGTCCTTGAAAAATAATGTTCAAAGACAAAGGAGGAAAAGGAAGAGAATTTGGAGCGCGGACACGAGCGCGGACACGAGCGCGGACACGAGCGCGGACACGAGCGCGGACACGAGCGCGGACACGAGCGCGGACACGAGCGCGGACACGAGCGCGGACACGAGCGCGGACACGAGCGCGGACACGAGCGCGGACACGAGCGCGCGGACACGAGCGCGGACACGAGCGCGCGGACACGAGCGTGGACACGAGCGCGGACACGAGCGCGGACACGAGCGCGGACACGAGCGCGGACACGAGCGCGGACACGAGCGTGGACACGAGCGCGACGAGCGGGACACGAGCGCGGACACGAGCGTGGACACGAGCGCGCGGACACGAGCGTGGACACGAGCGCGGACACGAGCGCGGACACGAGCGCGGACACGAGCGCGGACACGAGCGCGGACACGAGCGTGGACACGAGCGCGCGGACACGAGCGTGGGACACGAGCGCGGACACGAGCGCGGACACGAGCGTGGACACGAGCGTGGACACGAGCGCGGACACGAGCGTGGACACGAGCGCGGACACGAGCGCGGACACGAGCGCGGACACGAGCGTGGACACGAGCGTGGACACGAGCCGTAACAGGAAGAGATCAGAGGGAGACACTGGTCATTTATTAAGGTGGAAACACTGGGGTTAGTTATTAAGGTGGAAACACTGGGGTTAGTTATTAAGGTGGAAACACTGGGGTTAGTTATTAAGGTGGAAACACTGGGGTTAGTTATTAAGGTGGAAACACTGGGGTTAGTTATTAAGGTGGAAACACTGGGGTTAGTTATTAAGGTGGAAACACTGGGGTTAGTTATTAAGGTGGAAACACTGGGGTCATTTATTAAGGTGGAAATACTGGGGTTAGTTATTAAGATGGAAACACTGGGGTCATTTATTAAGGTGGAAATACTGGGGTCATCTATTAAGGTGGAAACACTGGGGTTAGTTATTAAGATGGAAACACTGGGGTCATTTATTAAGGTGGAAATACTGGGGTCATCTATTAAGGTGGAAACACTGGGGTTAGTTATTAAGGTGGAAACACTGGGGTTAGTTATTAAGGTGGAAACACTGGGGTTAGT